CTGACGTGTTTCGCCCTACCCACTGGGGGCTTGACCTCTGTGATCAAGCCCCAGTAAGCAGGACGAAACGCATCAGTGGGTGCAGCCAGGCAGCTGCACACACCCCTGACGTGTTTCGCCCTGCCCACCCTTTACCTCTGTATGTGGGCAGGATGAAAGTCTAAGGCTAAGGCACACACCCCTGACGTGTTTCGCCCTGCCCCCCGGGGGCTTGACCTCTGTGATCAAGCCTCAGTAGGCAGGACGAAACATATCAGTGGGTGCGGCCAGTACGGCAGCTAAGGCCATTCCTCTACATTGGACCCTGGGGTCAGTTGAGCAGCGTCCACCCCTTCACTTATATTGGCTGACACTAGAATCGCTCGGACTCATGTTCCCTCTTCTCACTTCCAGTGGGGTGATCCTTTTCCTTCTCTCCATAGCTTGGAGTGGATCCATAAGGTATACTGCCTATATGTGCAGAAGAAAAAGGTGTGAAAAAAGCGCGGTCGTGGACAATAGGTGTGAACTCAGCCTCAGGTGTGAATGGGGCCTTAATGAAATGCTCCAACGTCCTACGTTCACGTCTTGCAGGGAAAAAAATTTGAGGAAAACACATAAAAAACCCAGCAGCTGAGTTATGTAAGGCCAGCACTGTTTATAAACAGCCGCCATATGGAACAGAACGTGAACATGAGGTGCAATTCATCACATTCCCCGAAGTTAATGAGCCAATTTACAAGGCAATGACCCTGTTTTTCAACCAGATCTCCAATCATTGGGGAAGGTGATGAATAGAGACAAACTTTAGGCTCATCTGAGAAGCTGTGATGGATAATTAAGATTGGCCGATGTGTTATATACACGGGGCGGGGGCACTTGTACGTGGTCGGTGCGTCTTGCAGATACTGATTAATTGCGTCTGGTCATGTGACCGGAGGTGGTCGGATGAGCTACTAGAAAGTATCTGAGCTGCTCTGAGAGCTCGGAAAGATGTTGTGCACAGGCGTTCACTCAGAAAAACGCCAATTTAAAACTGGTGAGGGACTGCGCGATGGGAGGGGCCATTCTCTAAGTACAAAAGATAAATAATATTAATTATAATTAATATATAATAATAATAATAATTAATAATAATAAATAATAAATTAATTAAATAAAATTAATAATTCCCTAGGAGCCCAGCCAGGAGGAGCTTTACAGCTAAACTCCAGGCAAACACTTAAAGGACAGCACAGTGGCTAAATGGTTAGCACATCCGCCTGGCAGTACTCGGGTTGTTGGTTCAAATCCCAACCACGGCACCACCTGCCTGGAGTTTGCATGTTCTACCTGTGCCTGCGTGGGTTTCCTCCAGGTACTGCGGTTTCCTCCCACACTCCAAAGACATGCTAGTAGGTTAATTGGCTCCTGTCTAAATTGTCCCTAGTATGTGTATGTATGAATGTGAGTTAGGGACCTTAGATTGTACACCCCTTGAGGGTTAGGGACTGATGTGAATGTACAATATATATGTAAAGTGCTGTGTACATTGATGGTGCTATATAAGTACCTGAAATACAGTGGATGTAAACCCCTGAAATGAAAAACAAACAAAGCATATCCTTCTATAGCGTGTACTTTCCTCAGTCCAAAGCTCCTAGCTTACTTTCTCTCTAATCTCACCCTTCCTCTGCTATCTGCATAAATCACTTATGACAGGTTATGCCAACTTCAAGGGTGACAGGGGAGGTATGCTCCAGCACACAGCCTGTGATTGACAGCCCTAGCTGTGCACGTTTCCCTATGAGACTGTTAAAGGGGTGGAGGTGTCCATTCCCTGCACTCAGCCCCTTGCTCTATACTGCCTGGTGTGTGAAGTCAGATACCTGACTACTGCCTTCTGGAACTCAGAAATGCTGTGTAAACTGTGCGATTTGAATGGCTCTCAAGAAGAGAGTGCTGCAGATAAGGTACAACTTATTTAGCAGGATTTGTTTCATGTCTATGTTGTTCATCTCTGTATCACCTGAGGCTAGTCACTTCACTGGGTATGTGTTACCCCAGGTTCACACCTAAGCGTTCTCTGCAGCGTTTTGCATTTTTCCAGAAATGCAGTACAGTCCACCTAACATAATTTCCTATGAGATATGTTCACACCTGTGCGGTTTCACCGTGTGTTTTTTGAAAAGACTTTTTTTGAATCAAAAAAGTTGTATTTTTGCTTCTATGGACTTCAATGGAAATGCTACAGAAAAGCATGTATTGCATTTTTGCTGCGTTTTTGGCGCATTTTTTTTATGCATTTTGCATCTTAAATCTGCCTAGCAACAAAAGAAAATAAAATTTTTTTAAAAAAAGCGGCAAAAACGCAAAACGCAATGCAGAAACGGCTCAAACGCAACCTGCATAGGTGTGAACCTAGCCTTAGAGTTTACAACCACTTTAGCCACTTACCGACCTGCTGCAGTACATATATTGCAGACAAGCAGCTATTATAGACACCATAACATGCCTCTATGTCGCAGCTTTCTTGCAGGTTCAGGGCATGTGCGAGCACCCCCACCTGTCGACCCAATGATTCATGGCTGGGACCTGCTGATTGGCTGTATCCAATCACAGCCCAAAGCTCTATATTGACAAACAACACAGAGCTCTTTATAGAGGGAAGGATCTCTGTGTTTCTTCTGCCTGCAAAGCAGGTTTTTAGTAAAAGGTACAAAGTGATCTTTCCCTTCCCAGCCAGTGTCATTCGTACAGTGACAGTGTACAGTATTAGAATTGATCGATTTATTTTTTAAAAATAAAAAAAGGCAGACAATTTAAAAAAAAACACATTTTTCTTTGTTTGTGTATGGGATGCCCAAGGAAACTGCAAACTTGAGGACAAACCCCATAGCAACTATGTACAGATGTGGACTATGTGGATAGTCTCTCCTTTAGCTTTCTGGTGTACCTCCTCAGACTCCAGATGATTCCTCCTCTTCACCAAGCTGCACTGAGCGTATTCCCTGGGCAAGGGGGCCCAGATATTGCCAATTTAACGCATTAGCCCTAGATGAGAAGCTAGTTGGGTTTTCACCTGACTTCCCTCTCCCCTTATCTGGCCCAGGGGGTATAAGAGTACTCACACTGTCCTCTCCTGATAGCTCAATGGGTTGGTGGCTGCTTTCAGACCTTTTGCTGGACTGGCTCCTTCTCTTCTGCTCAAGATTGTCCTCCCTTGGAGATGGTCACACAGTGGAGATCCTCTTCTCCAGCACCTGCCTGTAAGTAGGCCCCCTCCCAGGCTCCACACTCCGGCCTCTCACTCCATCTTCCACCTGACACTCCCTGACCCTGCACAGGCTCTGCCACTTTTGAAGGTTGCCCTGGACACCATGCCCAGCCTCCTACCAGGGGATTGGTCAGGGTTCCTTAAACATGCAGATCTGGGTCTCCTCCCCTCCTTCACCCCTCTTCCAGAAACTTCTGTAAGTTTCTGGAAGGGTGAGAGGGCTCCCAAAGCCCTGACCTATTAGACCCTCCCAGCCTTTCCTGAGGAGAACTCCTGCCTCACTCACTGGCTGACTCATCCCCACGCTGCTGCTCAGCCATCGCCTAGAAAGAGAAAAAACAAACATCTATCTAGCTGCTCTGGAGGGTATTACATAAGTATAGAGAATCCGTGGGAAAGTTATAGAGTCCACAATCTATGGGATATACAGTTGTGCTCAAAAGTTTGCATCCCCTGGCAGAAATCAGGAAATTTTGGCATTGCTATTGAAAATATGATTGATCATGCCAAGAAATTGTCTTTTATTTAATGATAATGATCATATGAAACCATCTTTATCACATAGTTGTTTGGCTCCTTTTTAAATTAAAAAGATAACAGAGATCACCCAAATGGCCCGGATCAAAAGTTTCCATCCCCTGGAATGTTTAGCTTTGGTACATATACACAAGGTGACACAAACACAAGTTAAAATGGCAATTAAAGGTTAATTTCCCACATCTGTGACTTTTTAGATTTCAGTTAGTGTCTGTGTATAAATAGTCAATGAGTTTGTTAGCACTTACATGGATGCACGTGGAAGCAAGCTAGATACTGAGCCATGGGGAGTAGAAAAGAACTGTCAAAAGACCTGCGTAACAAGGTAATGGAACTTTATAAAGATGGGAAAGGATATACAAAGATGTTCAAAGCCTTGAATATATCTGTCAGTACTGTTCAATCACTTAATAAGAAGTAAAAAATTCAAGGATCTCGTGATATCAAGCCAAGGACAGGTAGACCAAGAAAGATTGCAGCCACAACTGCCATAAGAATTGTTAGGAATACAAAGAAAAACCCACAGGTAACCTCAGGAGAAATACTGTACAGGCTGCTCTGGAAAAAGATGGTATATTTATTTCAAGGAGTACAATGTGATGATACTTGAACAAAAATGAGCTGCATGGTCGAGTTGCCAGAAAGAAGCTTTTACTGTGCCAATGGCACAAAAAAAGCCTAGTTATAAAATGTCTGATAACACCTTGACTCAACTTTCGGCTAATTTAACACAAATAAGGCACTGAGGGATTTTATTACCACCTTAATCAGCCATAGAACCTGTGTAAGTATGTGTTTGGTTTTAAAGGGATAAGGTGGCAACCCTAAGTGGGTCCAACTTTGCAGAGGGACAAGTTACTTCCAGGTCGCACCCATAAAAGTTGCATCAATGTTGCTTCAAAGTTGCACTCCAAAGTCGAACAACTTTGTAGTTCTACTAGGGTTGCCCCCTCATCCCTTTAAACCTGAACACACATGAATTACACAGGTTCTGGGGCTGATAGTGCCTTATCTGCATTAAATTAGCCCCAGAACCTGTGTAATTAATATGTGTTCTGGTTTAAAGGGATGAGGGGGCAACCCTAAGTCCTACGAGTGTGACTGGAGCCTACTGCATACATAGTTGCATCAATTTGTATTTTTTATACCTTCCTGAAGTTCCACTTTAATTGTCACCCATCTGATAATTGTTCATCTGGTCTGGCACTGTATGTCGATCATCTCTTACCTGCACGGTAAACGGCTCAAACGTGTTGATTGGATGGGTCAGTCCGTACACCACTTTCTCTTTTTCCGCCACAAAAGTCCCTTTAAGGAAAAAAAAAATCAGGCTCACTAATAGCCAACAATTATTCAGCTGATTATACACCCCCCCCCCCCCCATCCACATCATTTACCTTCACCGCCTAATTTGCTGAGTTTGGTTCATGCGGTGTCGGGGTTGTTAAGTAAACAAATGCATATAATTAGAGGCTTTAAAATGTATTTATAGGATGAAGTAATCTATCACTTGTATATATCATATCACGTTGTTGATTGCAGCCCAGTCAGCCGGGAGCCAGGGGGAAATTCTGCAGCTTGAGCTGGCACTTGCCAAGTATCATAATCTGCCGGGCTTAACAAATGTCGGCTGTTTGTGGGCAGAATATTGATGAGATCTTACGTGGGAAATCATATGTAATTACAGCAAAGCCGCAGAGCTAGGTCACACCTGCAGGATGGATGAATGGATGGGGATATCTATCATCTATCTATCATCAAACTCTCTCAGTCCCCTCCTCTTATCTGCTTTCTTCCTTCTTCCTTCTCTCCTTCTTTTCCTTTTCCTCTCTTTCCTTCTCTCCTTCCTTCTCTCTCTTTTCCTTCTCTCTCTTTCCTTCTCTCCTTTTCCTTCCTCTCTTTCCTTCTCTCCTTTTCCTTCCTCTCTTTCCTTCTCTCCTTCTTTTCCTTCCTCTCTTTCCTTCTCTCCTTCTTTTCCTTCCTCTCTTTCCTTCTCTCCTTCTTTTCCTTCTCTCTTTCCTTCTCTCCTTTTCCTCTCTCTCTTTCCTTCTCTCCTTTCCTTCCTTCTCTCCTTCCTTCCTCTCTTTCCTTCTCTCTCCTTTTCCTTCCTCCTCTCTTTCCTTCTCTCCTTTCCCTCTCTCTCTTTCCTTCTCTCCTTTCCCTCTCTCTCTTTCCTTCTCTCCTTTTCCTTCCTCTCTTTCCTTCTCTCCTTTTCCTTCCTCTCTTTCCTTCTCTCCTTCTGTTCCTTCCTCTCTTTCCTTCTCTCCTTCTTTTCCTTCCTTCTCTCCTTTTCCTTCCTCTCTCTCCCTTCTCTCCTTTTCCTTCCTCTCTTTCCTTCTCTCCTTCTTTTCCTTCCTTCTCTCCTTTTCCTTCCTCTCTTTCCTTCTCTCCTTTTCCTCTCTCTTTTCCTTCTCTCCTTTCCTCTCTCTTTTCCTTCTCTCCTTTTCCTTCCTCTCTCCTTCTCCTTTTCCTTCCTCTCTTTCTTCTCTCCTTTTCCTTCCTCTCTTTCCTTCTCTCCTTCTTTCCTTCTTCCTCTCTTTCCTTCTCTCCTTCTTTTCCTTCCTCTCTTCCTTTTCCTTTTTTTCCTTCCTTCTCTCCTTCCTTCTCTCTTTCCTTTTCCTTCCTCTCTTTCCTTCTCTCCTTCTTCTCTTCCTTCTCTCCTTTTCCTTCCTCTCTTTCCTTTTCCTTTTTCTTCTCTTTCCTTCTCTCCTTTTTTCTTCTTCTCTTTCCTTCTCTCCTTTTTCCTTCCTCTCTTTCCTTCTCTCCTTTTCCCTCTCTCTTCCTTCTCCTTCCTTCTCCTTTTCCTTTCTCTCTTTCCTTCTCTCCTTTTCCTTCCTCTCTTTCCTTCTCTCCTTTTCCTTCTTCTCTTTCTTCTCTCCTTTTCCTTCCTTTCTTTCCTTCCCTCCTTCTTTTCCTTCCTCCTTTTTTTTCCTTCAGTCTTTCTTTCTCTTTTGATTTTTTCCTTTCTCCCTTCTTTACTTCAGTTTTTCCTTCCTTCCTTTTTCCTTCATCAAATTCTCTCTCAGTCCCTTTCTTTCTTTCTTTCTTTCTTTCTTTCTTTCTTTCTTTCTTTCTTTCTTTCTTTCTCTCTCTCTCTTTCTCTTTCTCTCTCTCTCTCTCTCTCTTTCTTTCCTTTCTTCCTTCCTTTTCTTCCCTGAATCAGTGTCCTCAACGTTCCCTTTAACTTCAGTCTGCAGGATCCCCCCCCTTACACTTCAAGGGGGAACTCTGCGGACCCTGATGTAAAAAGGAACTCTGATGTAAAGGGAATTGCTGCTGACCCTGATGTGAGTGGGAACTATATGTAAAGGGTAACGCTGCAGACCCTGATGTGAGTGGAAACTCTGATGTAAAGGGGAATGCTGCTGATGTAAGGGGGAGCTCTGGTGACGGAGACTACTTTACATCAGAGTTCCCTTTTACACCAAGGTCTGCAGCATTCCCCCTTGCATCATGATCTGCAGCATTCCCCTTTACATCAGGGTCAACAGAGTTCCCCCCTTTCACTGTAAGTAGGAATTCTGCAGACTCTGTTGTAAGGGGGAACTCTGTGGACTCTTATGTAAGGGGGGGGGGGCTCTGGTGACCAGAGACTTCCTTACATCACAGCTCCATTTTCCATCACAGTCTACAGCATTCCCCTTTACAACAAGGTCCACTGTTTTCCCTTTTACATGAGGGTCTGCAGAGTTCCCCCTTATGCAGGAGGAACCCTGCAGACTCTGATGTAAAGGGAACTCTGAGGACTCTGATGTAAGGGAGAACTTTGTGGACTTTAATGTAAAGGGGAACTCAGTGGACTCTGACGTAAGGGAGAACTTTGTGGACTATGATGTAAAGGGGAACTTGGTGAACTCTGATGTAAGGGAGTACTTTGTGGACTGCTATGTAATGGGAAACTCTGTGGACTCTGACATAAGGGAGAATTTTGTGTACATTGAGGTAAAGGGGAATTCTGGAATCTGATGTAAGGGAGAACTCTGTAGACTTTGATTTAAAGGGGAGCTCTGTGGACTCTTGTATAAGGAGGGGGACTCTGGTGTCTAGAGACCCTCTTTACACCAGAGTCTGCAGCATTCCCCCTTACACCAGCATCAACAGCATTCCCGTTTACATCGGAGCCCACAGTATTCTCTTTTCCCTTTTGCACTGTAAAGGGGAACCCTGCAGACTCTGATGTAAAGGGGAACTCTGTTCTGGGATATATATAGCAAAAGTGACCATCATGCAAAAGGCCCTTGGGTGCATTTGAGGCCCCCTTTAGTTCATAAGTGGACAGCCAATGGAGTAAACAATGCCCCATCATTGCTTTCAATGGCAGGAATAGTGCCCCAAGAGCCAGATAAAGGCATGCAAAGAGCCACATCAAAATGGCCCAATCATTGCTTTTTCAATGGCAGGAAATAGTGCCCCAAGAGCCTGAATAAGGCATGCAAAGAGCCACAGAGAACAATGGTCTAAAGGACTTATCTTGGAGGTGACAACAATTACTGCAAAGTAGACCCGGGCACTCAGTAGAATACAGTCTTTGGGTGACAGGGCCACCCACATGGAAGAAAAACATATTTGAAATATATTTTAAAAATATTCTTCCCAAATATATTGACATATACTTGAAATGCTACAATTTTAGCCAAATATCTATATATATATACATACATACACTGCATATGTTGAAATGTGTTTTTTATTACAAAATATAAGAAAAATAGAAAAATACATTTCAGATATACTGTATGTCTTTAAAAATTCAAATCTACATTTTTGGAATACATTTACAAATATATGTAAAAATACATGTTAAAATTACTTTTTATATGTAGATGTAAAAAAGAATATATTTAAAAACAATATATATTTAAAAATATATATTTTTTTAAATATATTCTTCAGATTTTTTTTAACATATAAAAAAGTCATTTATCAGATATTTTTACATATATTTGTAAATGCATTCCAAAAATGTACATTTGTATTTTTAATTTTTTTAAAAGACATACAGACATACAGTATATCTGAAATGTATTTTTAAAAAATATTTTTCATATATTTTGTAATAAAACCGCATTTCAACATGCAGTATATATATATATATTTATTGAAATATGTTTTGAAATATATTGAACATGGCCAAAATTGTAGCATTTCAAATATTCAAATATATTTCAATATATTTGGGAAGAATATTTTTAAAATATATTTCAAATATATTATTCATCCATATGGGCAGCAACACCCCTACATTAAATATAATAAAATGGAAAAATGTGCCAATGACAGATTCTAAAGTCAGGTTCTTTCGGTGCTAATATTTTTTTTCTATAAAATAAAAAGGTCGACAAGGATACTCAGTGCTTAACACTGGGGCCCTGCAATTTTGCAGTTCTGATCAGGTATGAAAAAGGTACCAGGGGCATCTCATGGGGCCCCCTACTGACCCTGGGCCCTCGGGCAGTGCCCAAGTTTCCAAATGGTCAGTCCGCCCCTGCCTGGTACGACAGTACTGTGCTAGTAAATTCAGTCTAGGTTTGTGAGTTGGGTTTTAATTTAGTGTGGCAATGGGTAATGGCTGAGAGTTACATTTTGGGGTTAAGTAGAGGATTAGGTTTTGGTTTGATAAATGTGATTTATTTTTTGGGGGACTGGTTTATTTTTGGATAAGCTGAATGTTGCATTTTGACAGTTTTAATATGCAGAAAAATTATTTGTATTTTACAGGATAAGAAGTGATGAAATGAGTGTTTGCTATATTATTACTTGCCCGCTTCCAGATTCCCTTCATATTGTAAACTATGGGGGCCCCAACTGTCTTATAGTCTCTTACTGGCAGTAAAGCAATCATATACCATTACTCCATATTTCTCCATATGACCTGAAGTCTCAAAATAATTGTAAATATCAGGTGCAGGGGCGGACTGACCATTTGGAAACTCGGGCACTGCCCGAGGGCCCGGGGTCAGTAGGGGGCCCCATGAGATGCCCCTGGTACCTTTTTCATAGGCTTTTTTGAGTTTGGGCAAGGACACAGGGGCCCCATGATCCCCTATTACCCGGGGGCCCCATGAGTTGTCAGTCCGCCCCTGGTTCTGATTTCAGTGTCTATCTGCACTTTATTCCCATTTGGCTATGGAGCTCAACCCATGCTGTCCTGTTTCGGGGGTGTATATTCCTGTGCAGGGGCGGACTGACAGCTCATGGGGCCCCCGGGCAATAAGGGATCATGGGGCCCCTGTGTCCTTGCCCAAACTGAAAAAAGCCTATGAAAAAGGTACCAGGGGCATCTCATGGGGCCCCCTACCGACCCCGGG